ATCAATATTAATTTCATTTTCAGAGAACGTCCATTGGAAAATTGCTAGCTGATCCAACAGATTCCCCATTCCCCACATTGCAAAACAGATCAACATGTCAAATCGATTCAGTTACTGGTATAGGGTTTAAAAATATGTCTTAAATAGCCCCTTCGTCCCTTTAAATATATATTTTTTTATACTTTAACTTATAAATGCAACACACAAACTGCTTACCATATTTATACAATAGACGATAAATATCCCAAAGAATAACTCGGTTCAGTTTCTTTCCAATAAATATCACAAAAACAAATCATTAAATTTCATTTTTCCAGTTAACATTTCGAAGAAGCTTTCAATAAAACACCTATAACAACCAGATCTTATGAATGGAATCTTGTCAGGACAGAACTTAGATTAATAGTAACTGATGCGACAATTACATCAAAGAGTCCACATCAAAAGAGTACAAAGGAAATTGCTTAACAAAAATGGTGCGATATAAGGGATAATTTTTGTGCCAAATTACAAAGATAGGTTGCCAGGCAACGAAACATACGCCCACAGCAGCTAACTCGTCCGGGCAGTCAACAAGAGTTGTCACATATTTTTACTTTTTTCTGTAATGAAACATTTATAATAAATTAAAATCTGATTAGGAGTAACAACTCATTAAGTAATTATCAGAAAACCATTAGAATTTGTTTGGTTTTTATAAAGTTTTGCCCCATGCTAACGTTTAGTATAGGAAACTTTTAACATCATGGATTTAGCTGTTCAAGTCATAAAAATTCATTGAAAATCAATATACTTGTTTGTCTCAAGACCTTACACTCTGTGTATAAATCTGAAGTCAATCGGATGATAACTTTAGCTTCTAGAGGGTCACAAGGTTTTTAAAAGTGATCAAGGGCCATAACTTTGGCAGTAATTATCGGAAATCGTTGTAAATCAATGATTCTTCGTCTCATAACCTCAAAAACTCTGTATCAATTTAAAGTCAATCGGATATTAACTTTAGCCTCTAGAGCATTTACAAGATTTTTTGAAGTGATCAAGGGCCATAACTCTGGCAGTATTTATCGGAAATCGCTGAAAATGAATAAACTTCTTCGTCTCATGACCTTAAACACTGTGTATAAATTTAAACTCAATCGGATATTAACTTTAGCCTCTAGAGCGTCCACAAGATTTTTCAAAGTGATCAAGGGCCATAACTGTGGCAGTATTTATCGGAAATCGCTGAAAATCAATAGGCTTCTTCGTCTCATGACCTTAAACACTGTGTATAAATTTAGAGTCAATCGGATATTAACTCTGACCTCTAGAGCGTCCACAAGATTTTTTGAAGCGATCAAGGGCCATAACTCTGGCAGTAATTATCGTAAATCGCTGAAAATCAATAGGCTTCTTCGTCTCATGACCTTAAACACTGTGTATAAATTTAAAGTCAATCAGATATTAACTTTAGCCTCTAGAGCGTCCACAAGCAATTGTGGACGCCGGACTGAAGGCCGGCCGGCCGGCCGGACGGGGGTGACGACAATATACGACCACATTTCAATGTGGGCGTATAAAAATTATCACCACCGGTTAAGGAATGATTTTATTGACAGAGTATGTCAACTGCGAATATGATGATTAAGTATTCTTTTCATACGCTGCATGCGCCAACCTTCAAGTCTGTACCGATTCAAAAATTGAATTATCTCTCATATCCACAATTTTTAAAACCTGAGTTTTATCGTTAATAAAATTATTAGAATCCTTTGTAACCTACTGGTATTACATGGTGTAAATTGTAGGAGATGGGGTGTGCTATTCATCGTAGCCCGTTCGTAATTTAGCCATGACAACGGCACCTATTCTGTGTGAAAATCCTGATTGATCGCGTCCCAATTGTAATTGTTCTTTAATAATGAGCTCAACTATTTTGGATAATGATTACTTACTACAGGGACGTAACTAGCTCAGAGCAACAGGGGGGGGGGGAGTATTCTCAAGGGGTGCTGTAAAATTGACGGACAATGTATATCTATTGTTTTTATGGTCGGCAATTTTTTCAAAGGGGGGGGGGGGAGGCTTTGCACCACCTGCCCCTTAGTTACGGGCCTGACTAACTGACAATTCAGAATATAAGTATTGTCTACAAGACTACGACATGGTAGCAATTTGTTGTTAAAGGGGCTTCTATTTTAGTCAATTATCGATTCCTATTGATAGCACGTGTGAATTCACATAATTTGGAATCTTGACTGACAGTATGCATTGACTCAGACTTTTTGGTGCCGAAATGAAAAGTCATCAAGGTATTATCCGACTGATACATACGTGTTAATATACATGTGTTCAACAAGGTTGACAGTGACTTCTGGGGATGTGTGCTTAAAAACAGGAGATGAAGGCATTTAATTCATTTGTGATTTTAACCCGAAGATATATTTCTTCAGGTGTGATTTATCAATTTAAAATGCTTTGTGTAACTTATTTGTCAGAATGGAAATGGCTATTTCAATGGACAAAACTTTCGCCCACGGTAAGACCAGCATCTATGTGTGTAAATTTTGAAATTTTCGTAATTTTAATGAGTTTGAAATAGTCAATCGATGCAAGTATTAAAATGTCGAACATATTGATGAAGTAATGTATTGGTACCAGGGCTCGACACTGCCGGCGGCCTCGGCGGCCATGGCCTTTGAATTTTAGAATTTGGCCGCAGATTCGTGGCCGATTTTTAACTATCCACGGCCATGGGTATCGAGAGTTATTTTTACTATCGATAATCGGTATCGAAACAATCTTATTTTCACGATCGTAATGAAGAATGGATTACGTGTTTTAAAGTCAAACTATACGATGTTTTTGTTCGTCTAATTAATAATAAACTGTCTCATATTACGTATAAATTGTTTAAATAATGTTCCGAATGATACCATTGATAGGCCTATGTATGTGCAGGAACCAAAATAAAATGAGCACGAGTCGATTCAAAACATTGCGTACGTGAGCGCGACAAATACCAACATGGTGGACAAATCGTTGTCGATTCGTGTGCAAAAACTAAAGAAAATGTAATAGTCTAAAGAGCTTGTTATCACGAATTCGTAAATTGTTTATTATTATTAAAAAAATACAGCCTTGATTCCGAAAGAAGAAATACAAACGTTTTTGTCATCCATCATTGCTATGTCATTTATAATGAGCAGACGGGTATCTCCAATTTAGCAAATTCCATGATATGGCGATTATTGTTTCAAACTAAAGTATTGTTTAAATGTGGGTGAATTTATTTTAACATTTTTTTTTAAAAAGCTAAATTGAGATTGAGACTTTGAAGTAAATATAAAGTGACCGATGTAGGCTATTGTATTATTATATATATACGAAGGATTAAGTCACAGAAAACATTGAGTCGACTCCTACGCACGCACGAAAAATAGACGAAGAGAACGATACCGGTACTCGATGATAGTGCTTTTTGGCATATCTTATTGATACTATCTATAATTTACCCAGCTCTACCGATGATATATAGCAATACTTTCAACTCTCAATATGGCTACATGCCGATTTTTAAAATATTTTTTTAGAATAAAAAAATTGTACTAAAAACGGTACGATAAGAATTTTCTCCCTTAACTCAATAACTCTAAGGATGCATTATTTTTGAAAAAGTAATAAAAATATTGAACGTGATGTGATAGGCAGGCCTGTAACAACATTTTGACTGAGAAACAAGATCTACAATAAACAGAACTTTACATATGATCAACATATTAAAACCTTCTAAATAAGCTGATAATATCATAATTCATGACATAAAAATTGGCCTTGGATTTTCAATTTTTGGCCTTGGATCAAGGTTGCACTTTGGCCTATCATAGACCAAAGTTGGCCTTCGATCGAAAAAACGAATTTCGAGCCCTGATCGGTACAACCATAATTCTGTTTATTTTATTATATAAATGCCTGCCAATGTTTGATATTTGTTATATTTTCAATATAAGCCAGTAAAATCTGCGTGTCTAACCGTGTTAAATTAACAATCTTTTTTTGCATGCCGTATTAGCTGATATTCGACTACGATATCACTGCCGTGGAATCGCACGATAAATACATAAACCTATTTCAAACCAGCTATGGATGTGCTGACTGTACATGCGTGAAAGTCAGACTTTTTAAAATTCGCGGTGGATGGCGGTTTAAAATAATCACTGAGGTCGGCAGTTTACTCAAATTCGCGAAGGAAATTTAGAGCGGAATTTTGAGCTTGGCCAGAGCAGATTGATTAACTGACGTCGTCGATTTTTATATTTATATTTTATTATGCAACTTTATAAGTGGCGTGACTATAAAACACGTACTGCGTCTTATGTTCATCAACAAATACAAAAGACGCATAGAAGAAACAGACCAGTACAACTCCACATATAAAGACCTGTCCTTATACAAAGACCTATTTGGGTAAAACACACCGGCGAATGAAAAATCGCACAGTAAAAACAATTTTCCTTCCCAAGTTTTGATTTAACACTCACACGTCAGATAAAGCCTGTTGGTCCTTGATTATACCCTTTTGGCGCAGTTATAACAACTATCGAGAAAACACACCAATTAAACAATACACACCGTGTCATTCGTTTTTAACCCGTCGGTTAATTAACACCTCAGTACAGAAAACGCACCGTCCCAGAGTTTTTCACCCCTAGCGATAATTAACTCGCCTTTCAGTCCATTTTTCACCCTTGTTAATTAACACACCTTATCTAGAGATTTTAAGCCATAATGAGGAGTTATAATCCGAATTTTATTTTTTTATCCAGATATGTAGGAATTAACCTTTTGGGTTAGATTTATATACGGCAAACGTACAGATTAACCCTTACCTATTTCTAAGTGTATGATGGCTTGAATGGCGAGATTGCTATCAGTCAGTTCAACTCTAAAATAAGTCTGAGACTTCAGGTTGCTATCCTTGTAATAGGTTTTTCCAAGAATATTATTATATTGATTTATACCTGAAAGTCACGTAAACACAACAAAACAGACTGCTGTTTATCTTCTGGTATCCCACAATACACCAATACAGATTTCAATAAACATGTATGGTTAATACGAAAATAATAATTTCTTTCTTGTAAAGCTGGGAATTCATTAACAACTTCTCCTACAACAGCTAATAACTCAGATTCTGGTATCAATCTACAAAATATAATAATTTTGTTGTATATACCACAAGCTATAATTTACAGAGCATGAAACATCTAGAATGTTGGTGTACTGTGGATCTGTAGTAATAACATTGGGTTACTGAGGTGGAAGCTAGTCTGGAAATTGAAAGAGTCCCAGACACTACGTCTACTTATAAAAAATACAGAGCAATTTGTCTCAAAAAATCGTACATTGTTAAAGTGGAACTGGTGCTATTTAAGAAATGATTTCTTGGCCTGACATAAAAAAAAAATAATCATCATCTAATAAATTGCAAATGCATTTAAGGAATTATTTTTCTGACCCAATATAAACAATAGCTACAATCGTTTATACGATGACTGCATAGATAGGGTTGCATAAAAATATTTATTGGTAAAAAAGTTTGACTGGTAACATTTTGAAACATAAACCCTACTAATAACTTACCCAAACTGATATGGAGTAATTATGTCAAATGCACACTCTGTCATTTCTTTTGGATGTAAGCCGAATAATTTCTTTTCTTGGTAAACATGATCAATACAATACCTTTTTAATGACTGAATATGACTCTTTGCAACATAACGAGCAAAAGGTACCTGAAGTAACAAATATATGAAATGCTCTTTACCTTTAATAAATCAACAGGTTTTGAAATCTGTCGACGCAATGTTAAAATCATACAGTTTTGTTTAACCCAATAGTTAAGTCACCAACTATTTTTAACACTATAAATGTGAAAGCACTGTCACCATTATTTTTCTTGATTTGTTTATCAATGTATGAAACTATACATAAAGTTTCAGCACTCTCACTCAATCAGAATCAGAGATTGTCTTCCAAAGCAAATAACTGATCGCTGCTTAACCCGAGCAGAAAATACTAATTATCAAACTTAGTTATAAGGTACTGATGTAATGCAAATATATAGCAAGTTTCATCACTTTCACACAATGAGAATCAAATTGTTTATCAAACTCAGTCATGATAATCACCTAATGAACATCTACACCAAGTTTGAACATTCTACCAGAATTAGAAGCATAGTTATTGTGTCCAAAAAGTGTGATGGATTGAGAGACAGATTGTATTAGCCCATTGCTTATTACGAAATGTGAGTGAAATAGATTTATTTAACATCCGCTTCCACCGAAGACAATTTTTATATCATGTGAGATGAGACATCAACCCTACTCATCACATTAGGATCGAAACAACAGATCTTATGACCTAAAGTGCACATGTTAGACTACTCAGTAACACCACTTAACAACCGCTCTGGTGGTCAGATAGTCTTCTGTAAGGTGATTAGATTGAAAACTTGACTTACTCTGAGATCACAGCGCAGACCTACAACATTACCACTATGGTCCATAAAACATGCATATTGTTCATCCTGATACAAAAAGCACTTGGGCATTAAAATGGGGGTTGACATTCTTAAAGCACCATGTCGCTGAAATATCCTTTCTATTGTACCATGAACACTTGTCTGTACTAAGGCTGCTTTCGTAGTAAGAACACCCTTTGAATGAAAACAAAAGATTTGCCATCACATAGGGCCCACATGATTTAAGTTCAGTCCCTGACTCAGAATAGAACTCCAAAATAATAAATAATCAAGCACAGAGGAAGTTTCTAGATAGGGGGTAATATTTTCAAAATCGATGATATATACCGCAATTACTTTTCGGTCATACAAAGGTTTATTGATATGAACAATTTTCTACGTTGTTTTTTTGTTTGCCTTTGTTTATAGAATTTAAGTTGTTGAAAACATCATCATCCCTTGCAACATAAATCATACTTCTTAAGAGCATTCTAATACTTCTTTGAAGGTTTGGAAAAACTGACAAAATATGGGGCTAATATCATCTCCTGGCCATCAATTTTTAGCATAGCTATCACACATGCAAAACATTTGAATCTAAGAAGATGTACAGCCAATGAAAATTTATATAACTTAAATCATAGACACGTAAGGGTATTCATTGTAGGCTGGAATGATCAAGACTAAATAATTAGCTAATTTACCTTATAAAGATCATTGTCATAAGTTAGATGTTGAATAAGTGGAACAGGCTGTGAAAACATGGCGTCTATCATACGTCTGTAAGATTTACTCTGGGGATTGGATATGGTTGATCTCAAAATTTCATTCAGTTCTGCTTCTTCCATTTGCGGGGGAGGTAAATGGTCAGACTGTAATAATTCTTTAGATGTTGGACGACAACTAGGGTCATGATTCAGAAGTGATCTTATAATACAGGTCTGAAGATAAATCACGATATATATTATTTCATTCAAGTGTTTATTTTATTTATTAGTAAAGATATGTCTTTAAACTTGAAATTATAGAGTTTTGGAGTAAACTATCTTTTAAAAAAAACTGGAATATGAGATCACATTATAAAGAAGCACATATGGATACCTGGTTGGCCATTTCTATTTCATCAAAGTCTGACGGCAATTGAATTGATGGCAGACGGACATTTCCTAATACGGTTACCCTTTCCATTCCCGTTGGTAATGGTCGATAGCACATCTCAAAAAATATGATTCCAAGGCTGTATATATCCACTTTCTGTTTCATAAAAAATCCAAACATATAATATAAGTTAAACATACATTATGCAAGAGATAAATCTGTCTATTGCAGGTCTTTCTTTAGGCCTGAAATGTTATCTAAATTATTTATTTGACATTAATTAACCTATCCAGGCATAATCAACTATAGATGGCATCGCTAGCCTGCGATCTTTAGTGGATTGTGAGCCGATTTACTGCATAACTTTCCTTCACGATTTAAAGATTAAATGGATAATGCTGTTTATCGTACTGACTTTAGTAATGATGATCAAGGCTAGGCGGAAATTCAATCGCTTTGTTCCCGGTTCATAGTGGATCAATTTGAATAAAATTTTCAGCAAATTGCCTTTACATTATCTAGTTTTTAACTATTATAGTAAGAACTGCCAACTCATTATCGAATCTCCCATAATGTATCTTTAATAAAGCAATGTTAGGATTAACATTATGGTATTTTCATAGTCCAATTATCTGTTTGCATGCAGTGGTCTTGTAGCAGTGGAAAGGAACTGGAGAACCTGGATGTTAAGAAAATGTCTCTACTCATTGACTAAATTTATTCTGATCTACATAAAAGTAATACATGTATACATACACCATCGTGCTCTACTGTCAAATTGATGGAATTTATTGGTGGAATTGCTATCGAGTCAGAAGGAACTAAGTTCTGTCACAGTTCTGTCACAGTTCTGTCAATTGTGAGAGCATGATCATAATCAAATGTATCAGATGTGGTGATTGGTTGAGTATTATATTCAATTAGTGTGTGCTTTGCTACCAGACTGTCTGTGTTTGCTCGACTGATAACTTTCAGGGGATTTAAAAAATTAAATTCTGTAACATTTGAGTACCCCCTAGATCTATGTCAAATTTAACACTTTAAAGCAATCATTCTTATTACAGTTGTAATTTTTTTTTAAACATAACGTACATGTCAGTGGAAATGAAATACAGTTACCTGATCATAATGTAGTTTACCACCACTAGCCATGACTTCTGGACTTACATAGAGTGCTGTTCCTACATTACCTGTTAAATTACCATCTCCTAAACTAATAGAGCGTGAAGAACTGAGATAAAAATCAGAAACATTACCAATCTGTTTACTTGCATCTAATAATGCACTTTGCTGAAATGGAACAAACAACCAATTAATGTTTAATTTAACTATAAGATCAACATCATTTAAAAACTGTCTATTGCTGTGACAGAAGTAGGGTACAATTCTAATCTTTCTGTGACACCACGTCTCATTTATTTAATCATATGTGTACTAGGCAAATATTTCTATTGTACTTTTGCGATCAATCTCCATCTTATCATTTAATGTACAAATACTCCAATGTCTTTAAGATTAAAAACTATCTTTAAGTTTATCCAGCAGTTGTCAGGCAAGATATGCCCACATTTTGCAAGAGATGGACAGAGAACCAGTTTTAAAAAAAAAAAGCGATTTTACGTAAAATTGGAGGCTATAATCCAGGAAGTTACGATCCACTATGCGCAAGTTCAAAAGGAACCCAGATCTTTAGGATATAATTTATAAACATATATTTTAAGTTTTATTGTAGATAAAAAAATTCACCTCTACAGGGTCCACAACCTATTTGTGCATGGGGAGCGGCCATTTTGTCAAGCTATTTCAGTCTTATTTTCATGAAATTCAAACTCAACTGTCATTATGGTGTAACGGTGGCAAATTTAAACGCTTTTGTTTTTTAATCAGATAAAAATTGTGACCTCAAGCGGAAAAGACAATTTTGCATACATTCAGTAAGTCATGGTCTGAAATGTGCGTATTCGAAAGGAACTGAGATCTTTGGGATATAAACATATATTTTAAGTTTCATCAGAATCGGAAAAAAAAATGTGACCTTTAGAGGCTTCACAACCTTCGTATTATTTACTTTTACACTATTTGCATACAAGGAGCAGCCAATTTGATAGGAAGTTTCGTTTCGATATAGCTGAATTTCGATCTTAACCCTCATTACGGTGTAATGGTGATATATTTAAACACTTTTTAAAATCGGATAAAAATTGTGACCTCTAGAAGATCCACAAGCTAAGAATGTGATTTTATGTACAATCAGGGGCCATAATGCAGGAAGTTGTGGTCTGGTATGTGTGAATAACGAAGGAACCAAGATCTTTGGGATATTAACATTTATTTTAAGTTTCATCAAAATCGGATAAAAATTGTGACCTCTAGAGGGTCCACAACCTTGGTATTATATACTTTTACACTATTTGCGTACAAGGAGCGGCCATTTTGTTGGTCAGTTTCGGTCCAATTTTTATAACATTCAATCTCAACCATCATTAGGGTGTAATGGTGATATATTTAAAATAAAAACGTAATTTTTCGCACAATCAGGGGCCGTAATACAGGATAAAAATTGTCACCTGTAGAATGTCCACAAACGAATGTGGACGAACGGACGGACGGCCAGACGGGGGTGACGACAATATACGTCCACATGAAAATGTGGGCATATAAAAATTATCTTTATACAGTTAAACCAGCGGCTGCCAGGCAGGATAAGCCCACATTTTTCAAGAGATGAATAGAGAACAAGCTAAACAAAAGGCGATTTTTTGTAACATCAAGGGCCATAATTCAGGAAGGTATGATCAGATATGTGCGAATATCGACAGGAACCAAGATCTTTGGGTTATAAACATGCATTTCAAGTTTCATTAAAATCGGATATATTTGAACTTTTTTTAAATCGAATAATAATTGTGACCTCTAGAGGGACCTCAAGCTACAAATGCGATTTTCCGTACAATCAGGGGCCATGATCCAGGAAGTTACAATTCGATATGCGCGAATATCGAAAGGAACCAAAATCTTTCGGTTATAAACTTACATTTCAAGTTTCAACAAAATCTGATAAAAATTGTGACCTCTAGAGAGTCCACAACCTTGATATATCATATTTTTATGCTATTTGAGTACGAGGGGCGGCCATTTTATCTGTGCGATCAGATATGTGCGAATATCGACAGGAACCAAGATCTTTGGGTTATAAACATGCATTTCAAGTTTCATTAAAATCGGATCAAAATTGTGACCTCTAGGGGGTTCACAACCTTGATATACCAGATGTTTACACTATTTGCATAGAAGAGCGGCCATTTTCATGAAATTCGAACTCAACCAACATTTCGGTGTAACGGTGATATATTTGAACAATTTTGTAAACCAGATAATAATTGTGACCTCTTGAGGGACCACAAGCTAAAAACAGGATTTTTCGTACAATCAGGGACCATAATTCAGGAAGTGACGATCCGATATGCGCAATTATTGATGGCAACCAAGATCTTTGGGTTTAAACAAGCATTTCAAGTTTCATCAAAATTGGATCAAAATTGTGACCTCTAGAGAGTCCACAACTTTGATATACCAGATGTTATACACTATTTGCGTAAGGGCGGCCATTTTGTCCAGCAGTTTTAGTCCGATTTCACGAAATTCAAACCCAGCCAAAATTACGGTGTAACGGTGATATATTTGAACTTTTTTTTAAATCGAATAATAATTGTGACCTCTAGAGGGACCTCAAGCTACAAACGCGATTTTCCGTACAATCAGGGGCCATGATCCAGGAAGTTACAATCCTATATGCGCGAATATCGAAAGGAACCAAAATCTTTGGGTTATAAACTTACATTTCAAGTTTCAACAAAATCTGATAAAAATTGTGACCTCTAGAGAGTCCACAACCTTGATATATCATATTTTTATGCTATTTGAGTACGAGAGGGGCGGCCATTTTATCTGTCAGTTTTGGTCCGATTTTTACGAAATTCGAACTCAACCATCCTTAGGGTGTAACAGTGATATATTCAAACGTTTTTTTTTAAATTGGATAAAAATTATGACCTCTATAGGGTCCACAAGCAAAAAACGTGATTTTCCGTACAATTCAGGGCCATAATTCAGGAAGTTACGGTCCAATATGTGCAAATATCAAAAGGAACCGGTATCTTTCAGTTATAAACTTACATTTCAAGTTTCATCAAATTCAGAAGAAAATTGTGACCTCTAGAGAGTCCACAACCTTGATATATCATATTTTTATGCTATTTGAGTACGAGGGGCAGCCCTTTTTTCTGTCAGTTTTAGTCTGATTTTTACAAAATTTGAACTCAACCATCCTATGGTGTAACGGTGATATATTCAAACGTTTTTTTTAAATCGGATAAAAATTATGACCTCTATAGGGTCCACAAGCTAAAAACGTGATTTTCCATACAATCTGGGGCCACAATTCAGGAAGTTACAGTCCAATATGTGCGTATATCTAAAGGAACCGAGATCTTTGGGTTATAAACTTACATTTTAAGTTTTATCAAAATCAGAAGAAAATTGTGACCTCTAGAGAGTCGTCAACCTTGATATATCATATTTTTATGCTATTTGAGTACGAGGGGCGGCCATTTTGTCTGTCAGTTTTAGTCCGATTTTTACAAAATTTGAACTCAACCATCCTTAGGGTGTAACGGTGATATATTCAAACGTTTTTTTGAAATCAGATAAAAATTATGACCTCTATAGGGTCCACAGGCTAAAAACGCGATTTTCTGTACAATCAGGGGCCATAATTCAGGAAGTTACGGTCCGATATGTGCAAATATCAAAAGGAACCGAGATCGTTGGGTCATAAACTTACATTTCAAGTTTCATCAAAATCAGAAGAAAATTGTGAACTGTAGAGAGTCCACAACCTTGATATATCTTATTTTTATGCTATTTGAGTAGGAGGGGCAGCCATTTTGTCAGTTTTGGTCCGATTCAAACGTTTTTTTTAAATCGCATCAAAATTATGACCTCTACAGGATCCACAAGCTAAAAACGCAATTTTTTGTACAATCAGAAATGAAATGAAATGAAATGAAATGAAAAGGGGTTTAACGTCCTACTGTTCTGCTCCTAAACTGGGCTAATGAAGACGGCATACGCCATACAGTGTGTTATGAGGGAAATTTTGCCTGGGCAGCAGCGCTACGGCCTACTCTTATATCAAATTCCAACTGCCAAGGGATCTTTTACGTGCATGCCAATATGTACACAGGACCTCGGTTTTTCGTACCATCTGAATGACTAGACAGCTGTCCTTGTCAGGCCCTCCGTCCTGCATCACTGACAAGGTGAAACCACGCCGGAAAATCTGGATGCACTTTCTCGGCCAATGCAGGGATCGAACACCCAACCTCCAGGCTAGCGAGCCAGCGTCTTACCCACTTAGTCGTACAATCAGGGGCCATAATTCAGGAAGTTAAGGTCCGATATACGCGAATATCGACAGGAACCGAGATCTTTGGGTTATAAACTTACATTTCAAATTCAAAAAAAATCAGATAAAAATTGTGACCTCTATACGGTCCACAAGCTAAAAACATGATTTTTCGTACAATCAGGGGCCATAATACATGAAGTTACGGTTCGAAAGGAACCAAGATCTTATGGATATAAACCTATATTTCAAGTTTCGTTGAAATCGGATAAAAATTGTGACCTGTAGAGTGTCCACGGACAGGAGGGACGACAATAAATACGTCCACATGAAAATGTGGGCGTATAAAAATATACCTTGACTAGAATATCTGTTGTAGCTAATCCAAAATCTCCAATCTTAACATGATCATTTGAGTCTAAAAATATATTGACTGGTTTTAAATCTCTGTGAATCATTCCCTAAAGAAGAAAACTGTATAGGTAAATATGAAATTATTCAGTCAATAATCAGATTAATGATATTATTGATAATAATAATATCACAACATTTACCTGGTCATGTAGATGTATAAGTCCTTCAATAATCTCTCTGAATAATCTCCATGTTCTATCAACATCTTCATATAATCCAGCATCTATACAATTTCTTAATGTACTTTTCTCACAATATTCCATCTGTGATAACAATGAAATATATAGCAGATAAAACCACATCAAGGGTAAATATGTCATCTAACTGTGATAGAGTGTCATCTGTCAATAGCTATCGTTTCAAAAAATTTCTATAAAATGGGTCTAGTTGTAAAGTCACACATTAGTAAAATGTGAAATTATATGGATAAAAAGCCGCCTTCCTGCTTCTAGAATGTGCCAGTTTTTATAAACGAGTCGTCGCAAGTTTGAATTACTTTCTGTTCGCGCCATAAAGTTTATCAACCACTATTTACACCTGATGCATATCATTAAAACACACAACAAATCAAAAACACTCTAGATCATATTACGCGCCAATTTGACCTCAAGTTCACAGGTCAAAAGGCGAGTCTGAGTTAGCGTGTTTACTTTGAGACGATGAAGTGCCTTGTTCACCTCGTAGACAAAGATTGTGGAAAGCTGATTAAATTTACAGATACCAGTTGGAATAAGGTTGTTTTAAGTTTTAAAGGATGGACTAATCTTGATGGAAATGAGCTAAAAGTGTGCCAACAATATAAAGATGTATTTGAGGGTAAGTTTATCAACTAAATCAAACTAAAATTGAAAGTAGAGTCGCCATTTTATTTTTCGGCGAAACACAATTTTTTGTTTTGTTTACATTTTAAATTAAATTCTTAATGATAGGCGGATTGAATTTTATAGACACCTGTACTCATCACAAATGCTGTGGACTGTACAACACAACGGGAGCTTACGTCCGTATATAATATTTCTTGTTTGTTGTCATTGCTGTGTGCAAGTTACGATAAATAATAATAATGTTTGTTGACATTCACATTGTATAGTCTCATTATATTGTTCATAGATAGATAGGTTTGTTTTAAAATCGATAGCATTCACGCTAGCCTTTGGTTTTATTTTATTAAACCCAGATTGTCTAAGTGTCTTTTCACAAATCAAGTGCAAACAGGTGGCAGTGTCTTCTTGTTTTTCATAAAAGAAAAGTAATTTTTATTATGGATATTTGTTGCCACCTAAATTCTTCTCTCAGGTTCTAATTTGCTTATTTTGTTTATGTGTGCAATAATATTAGAAGTATGTTTGTATTTATAGGGAATAAAGATGATGCACTACCGGTTTATGGCTATCATTCCAAGTGTTATTCGAGATTCACAGTCAGAACAAAGATTGAACGAGCTACTAAAAGAGTTGCATTAGAGTCTGGTGAGAAGCAACACGTGATGAGAGTCAATCCACGTCTAGACAAGGTTTGCGATCAGCCGCCACTAAATCATCAACCACCCAAGCTGTGTCCACCTCCAAGGACATGTCTTGCCTCCTGTGTGCATTATCTGCAAAAAAGTACCTTTTTTCCACAGGTGTCAGAATAAGACTGTCTCTGATAAGCTGGTTTTAGCAGAAACTAAAGATGGGGGTAAGTTTTTATTATTTGTTCAACCGTTGTGATTTAATATTGCCCCCCCCCTCCTTTTCTGTTATCAATGGGGTTGAGAGATCCAATCACATTCTCGATGACCTCAATGACAAAGTACAGTATTAGTAGTCTATCTGTTCACGTAAGGGTTTTCAGGGTTTCCCTGCTGCGCAGGTTCTCCCAGCACGTGAGCAAATCATATGATTGGTGCAAAATAACCAGAATATGGTGTTGATATGACATAAAACAACATTCATTCATTCATTCATTCCTCCCACATGTACCAGGTCTGCCAAAAGTTGTCTAGTTCATTGTTAAAAGTAGGCTGCTCCATACAAAGCCTATTATACACATAAAAACTGTTGCATAAAGATTTTTGTGGGGTTTTTTATTTATGCATATGTAACCAGAAAACGAATATGCATTCTACTTCTAGTTGGTTTATGATATCCATGATATTTACAATTTTCCATATCTTTTTAGGGCGACTTAGAGAAGCAGCAATTAAGAAAGAAGATGAAACCATTCTCAGGCACATCAGAGATAAAGACTGTGTTGCCGTTGAAGTTAGGTACCATCTACGATGCCACAAGGATTATGTTCGATTCCTAACAAGAAAACCCACAGTTCAGTCGTCAGGTAAGTTTATTTCATACTTGTAGTAGTTGTTGTGTCCTTGTGGCTTGTTGTTATATCTATTTTATATCATAGGCCTACATAAAGGCAACTAGTGAATGGGAAGGGATTTATATAGCCAAGTGGTTACAAAAAGGTCTGTCATCAATGGACTTGAGTTCGAATCCCATTATCAGCAACCTCAATGACAAGGTGTGGGAGTAGCCGATTTACTCTATAGTTTAAGTAGTGCTGGTATCTTTGATGGCAAGTGAATTGGCACAAAATGACCAGATTGTGGTGTCCAAATGCACTAAAACAATGTACATCCATACTTTTGTACTGTCAAGACGTGTTTGTGATATAAGTTTAAAGTGTATTAATATGTTTGTTTTTCTTAATCGACCACCGGCCAATACATGCGATTGATCGTTAAATCTTAAATGGAAATATCACCAAACATGAATTCATGCATCTAGGATGAGATTTCCTTGTACGTGTAGTAACTATGAACTTACATTTTTCAGGTCTTCAGAGCGGTCTGCATATGTTACAACCTTTGATATATTTTGTGAAGATGTGATTAGAAAAAGAATTATTTTCAACAAAGAAATTCTGCGAATGGCCAAGTTATTAGATATGTTTATTAAGATGGCAAAGGACATTGAACAAGTCGACATTTCAAACTACCGGTAATAATTTGTTATTTCTGTACAATGGTTTTGTCCTTTGGGGGTGGGGGCGATTTAGTCAATTGGTCTGTCATTAATGGGCTCAACGGTTTGAATCCTCTTCTCAATGACAAGGTGTGGGAGTATGCAGGGGTATTCCAGTTTGGCCTACTGTACTACTAGTATGTAGGCGAATTATCTGCCATTGCAAGTGGATTGGTGCAAAATGACCAGATAGCAGGGTCAACGTACAATAAAACAACATTCAATGGATATGATTTATGTGAATTAATTTTTTACTACCTTCGTACTGTAAAGACCCGTTTGTGATCAATTTTTTTGGGTTTGGTATAATTAAGCATTAATTATTGCACAACTGTTACAGCAAAATTTAAATAAATTTTTGATAGAACAGTTATTAAAAATTAAAAAATTGTTTTCTGTATTTTAAAAAAAATATTGATATTGAAATGTTGTTGTAAATTGCAATACACAGGCCTAATTTACATCTATTTATGTGAATTAATTTTTTACTACCTTCGTACTGTAAAGACCCGTTTGTGATCAATTTTTGGGGGGTTTGGTATAATTAAGCATTAATTATTGCACAACTGTTACAGCAAAATTTAAATAAATTATTGATAGAACAGTTATTAAAAATTAAAAAAATGTTTTCTGTATTTTAAAAAAAATATTGATATTGAAATGTTGTTGTAAATTGCAATACACAGGCCTAATTTATATCTATTTAAACCTTTAATACTAGTCATTAAATAAAACATTAATGTTTTAAATTTGTTTTCATTCTTTGTTTGGTGATAGGGTGGGTTGCCAAGGGGGAAATTTGGTTTTGTTCAATATTTATAGGACATTTATGATACGAGTTATCTCCCCTTACAGCCCCTTATACCTTTTTACCTGGGATCCCTATATGAAATATCACGTTTATGCATTGTTTTTTTGGTTGAAATCAAATATGTCTATGCAATTATCAAATTTATGTATGATTTCTGATAATAAATTAAATTCAATATCAATACAATGATGCTGTATTTTCATAAATAGACAAAAACATGCTACGATGTGCAACATTACTGCTTTGTGGGCGCTTATTATTGGTCCTGTGCAAATACAAATTGAGATATTTCCATAATTTTTTTTTCAAATGTTGCTATGCATTTTGGCAGTACACACGAAAAAAATCATTCACCTGCTGTAATTTTATCATCCAAAATCACAACGTCAAAGTCATGTTAGACAAGCATGATATAAATTGACCGAGACCCTGGGTAAATGGGTAATAATTTAAAAACTGGCAATATCTGAAGGTGGGAATATGGATTTTCCATCACTAGAAACCTTGTATTATAAGAAAATGGCAACATTTTTTAGATCCAGGGGGGGTGCAACAAAAACCGATTTCTAAACACATTTTCCCTGTACAGACGACACTCTATGATAAGATATTCTATTATCAGCAAAATCAACTGACAACTTGTTCAAGGAGAAGCACTGATGCCATTTCGCCTGATTTTTCAAAGGCCCAACCAGGAATATGGCCAATAGGACATCAAGATATGGGGAATAATATTCCAAATTCCAAAATTAATTGACTGTACTGTGTGTATAACTACAACTCATCCCGATTATTGTTAATAATAGGCTGGATTGATTAGGTAATTAAGTGATCAACGTATTTATCGTGTTATACCGTCTATACACCTACCTTGAATAACTACTTAATCTGGCTTGATTGGTGGATTTAATCCTATGTCAGACAATTCATCAATCCAATCCTGAACAGAAGTCATTGCTTCTCCTTTGTTGGACTATTTACCAATCCAATAGGAGTGAATATAAACTTAATCTACATGATTAGCATACTTCTTGGTTTCTCCGTTGTCAGACATTTTAATCTCCTTCCTTGATTTCAGCCGACAGCATGTAGAAACTAGTCATAGATGTCACATATCCTAATAGTATATACTACCCCAAATCAGTCATTATAACTTTCAAAATGCTTTGATTCTTATTTACTGCCTAGTCCTCTACCAAGAAAACGTGACGATACTGACACACCCGTGTGTGCTGTTTCTAGATCAAGTTCTGTGCCGTCAAACAATAATTTTGATCTGTAACCATTTTCCTTCGTAAGAATTGCTACGTGGTCCCACCTGGCAACCCATTTGCCATTATATTACACAATACTTTAACTATTTTCCATTCAACAAAAACAAAATATTCCATACATGAATCGGTGCCTATTATTAATTATTAAACCCTAAAGACTTATTTTTGGTAATGCAGCCACTTCTTTTAAGACTCCATATATAAAATCCCATCTACGGTGGCACTTTCCTGCGATCTTGATGTTGCATGGGAATCATCACTTACCATATAAGGTAGTGCTTACTACGAAACTATTAATAGGGTTGATTTTAGCATGAATTATGTGTAACCGGTTATGTAGGCCAATAACAGACATAATAATACGAGGAAGTTGGCTATGCCTTTTTACGAGTGATTAAACTGACAATGTATTGCTTTCATTTGCTGCCATATAAACGAAAACACGTAATTTTGGAGGAATGTTACTGGCGTGAATTAGGAGCAGGTATGGTTCGGCACGCTTTCTTTCTATCTTATTACCAAAACATGTTATTTTGTAGGAATATATTAAAATAGTGAGGTGCACACATTTTTATTATGTACGAATTTGAATATTTTGTTGACAAATGATTTTTAATTGTGATCTGAATCCATCTGCATAAATAATATTACTTATTCCCCTTTATTTTTGGTAAAAATGACCGACATAAATTTTGTTTGTTTGAAATAGCAACACTGAAGAGAAACATAGTTTATTCCAGTGTCAGAAAATATTGAATCAATTTATTGAGAGGACTTTAAGTCTGGTTGGAAGTAGGCTACATAACTTTAGGATAGTGTTATATATACTATTCAAAAAAAGTAGGGGATATTTGATTTTTAAGTGTTATTAAAGTCACCTAATGAAACTGACGAAGAAACAAATGACAAAATGAAATGAAGTTCACATTCATCGATTTATTCCAAATGATCGTTAGACTAAGTAAGGCACAGACTGACCATTATAAGGGTAAAATGATACCCGGGGTCAAACAGCAAAGTTACCACAGCATCACAACCAAGTCAGTAACGGTTAAATCCTCCTCTGTTTGCCAAACAAGCATTGATCCGACGTGGCATACTCCTAATGAGACGTCTAAGGTCATTTTGGTCCAGATTGTCCCATTCCTGTTGCAACGCAGCAGCAAGTTCTTGGACATTGGCAGGACGTTGTTGACGTTGACGTAACCTCTGTCCAAGCATGTCCCAGACATACTCGATGGGGGAGAGGTCGGGACTCAGTGCTGGCCAAGGTAATGTGGTGATGTTCTGTTGTTGGAGGTAACCTGTAACGATCCTGGCCCTGTGACATCTTGCGTTGTCATCCTGGAAGATGAAACGGCGGCCATGACGTCGTGCGAACGGCACAACATGGACTGCCAAGATGTTGTCCCGGTAGTACTGGCCTGTAACAGGCCCTGCAACAACATGTAAAGCCGTTCTTCCAGCAACAGTGATGCCTCCCCACACCATAACAGAACCACCCCCAAATCGATCATGTCTGATGACGTTAACGTCTTGGAAGCGCTCGTTTCGACGACGCCACACCCTCCTAGGTCTGTCCAAAAAATCAACAGTGAACCTTGACTCATCTGAAAACATCACATTGCTCCAGCGTCGATTATCCCAGTGTTGACGATCCCTACACCAACGACGTCTTGCCTGAATGTGATGATCTCTCAAACAAGGGATCACGCGAGGACGTCGGGCGCGAAGGTGACCCCTATGCAGTCGATTCCGAATCGTCTGGCCACTCACTCTCACACCAGTGTCTGTTTGAAGAAGAGCGCTGATCTGATTTGCTGTGATGACACGATTTCTCAAGGCCAAGGTACGGATAAATCGATCCTGGGCTTGAGTTGTCGCCCTTGGTCGACCTGAGCGTGGTCTGTCCTGTACAGATTGTGTATCACGGTATCTGGACCATAGCCTGCTTATGACAGACTGAGAAACATTCATCGTCCGCGCCACAACCGCCTGTGTTGTGCCGATCTGTAGCATGCCAAGGGCACGTAACCTTTCATTTTGGGTAAGCCGACGCATATCAAAATTTGTTTTCTGGTCACTAAAACAATTAAACTGATGTTTCCACCCTGGAATTCAATGCCACAATGACTGTAACATTCAAAGTCAGAGTCGTGCAAATCTTGGGTTGGACCCCCATGATGATCCCAAGCATCACCTGCATTCCATACGGTGGCTATTGGTGGGTTTGGGCGTCACATGTAACTGGAAATGTTTCTTCTGTTAGGTTCTATGGTGACTTTTTTCGTAGTCATTTGCATATTTTAGTATTATGCCCCCAAAATCAAATATCCCCTACTTTTTTTTGAATAGTATATGTTGAAATACTGGTCTTGTAGGCCAGTTTTTGTTTTGGGGTTCAACTTCTGTAACATCAATTATTTTCTAACTTTCAGGCCATCTTTACCACCTCAAGGTATTACATGATACCTTGACAACATTAGTCCAAATAATGAACTTTCATATTTATGACAAAATCTTGAAAACATCTAAAATTATTAACCTGTATATAGAGATATTGCAGCTTTGGTCCACTATCTAATAAGCTGTCAGTTTCATCTAATGCAGTTTCCTTTTTCATATTGTCTTTTTTAGAAATAACTGAAGTATCTTCAAATTTATCATCTTCATCATCTCCACCAAATATAATACTGTTAGAATCTTCATCAAACAATGGACTGTTTTAAAAAATTAATACATTTTAGTAATCTGTCTACATCAATATATAATACAAAAGAATTAAACAAAATGTCTATCAGCAGCCTTGTCATCCAGATTGTCCACAAAATGTGTTATGATTTGAATGACTTTATGAAATAAAGACGCCAAACAGATCCTGGCAGAGGAATTGCTGTGAATAATAATGTGATGTCTTTTTATGAAATATATATACAATTTAATGTCACCCTTTGTAAGGTATTTTCTGTCTATTGTGACAACCTCTGACCAAGGGACTTTCAGTTTAACCCAGCATTGATATTTGTTTCTGCCTGTATCTATGTATAAAGTGACATCATAATCGTTATTAATATAATATACATGTATCTTCACAAAATAATGGATTAACTTACAAGAACGAAGCACGCAAATCATCATTATCATCATCAGAGTCCGAATCTGATTCAGAGAAAGGTTTCTGTAACTGACTTGTACTGTAAGAATAATTCATAGTCCATTCTAATGAAGTATCTGTTTTTGTGGGTGGTGCCATGTTTTCTATGTTATCAATAAAACCTAGACTGTTTCTGCTGGTAAAATCAGAAGAGGGTGTCTTTTTATCAGAGTCTGTTTTAGCTGATGATGTACCAGCAGCACTAGAAGATGTGTCACTATTGGCTGGATCATCACTAGTTTCTATCCATGAATTATAATACCTGAAGTATATACATAAATATCATTATAAACAAGTGATTCAACAAAGGTTTAATACCAACAACTGTTTTTATACAAGTGCCATTACTGCTTGTTGAATAATAAATAACTTAATGATGCTTTTAAACTGCAGTCACCCATAATAAGCCTTATTTTGTTTTTATGAGCTTTTTCAGGAACCAGCTCCCCAAAAAGGAATCGTGGCCTGTAGGCAACACACAGAGACACAAAGAAAAAATGTGAGTGACTCTGCCCCTGGGGGTTGGGCAATCACCAAAAAACAATAGTGGTCATCCTTAGGGTATAAGAAATAGGTATGCAAAGTTTCAAAAAGATCTGTTAAGAATTGCGGTCTGTAGGCGAAACACAAGACACACAAACATTGGGTGTGGCTCTGTCCCAGGGGGTCGGGCATGCACCAAAAATAATAGGAGACAGCCTTAGGGTATAAGGAATAAGTATAAAAAAGTTTTCAAGATGATCGATTAAGATTTGCAGGCTGCAAGTGACAGACAGACACAAAAAGAAAATGGGTGTGGCTCTGCCCCTGGGGGTTGGGCATTCACCACAAGACCACAAGACACATAAGATTTACTCAAAGACAGTGGAATTCGGTTGTCTTTAGTGACGAATCTCGATTCACTTTGAGATTTGCCGATGGCAGGGTCCGAGTGTTCCGCAGATGAGGTGAACGTTACGCTCAAGTATGCGTCAGAGAAGTTGACCAATTTGGTAGCGGCAGTGTCATGGTTTGGGGTTCTTTTTGTGCACATGGACGTTCTCCTCTTGTTGTTGTCCAAGGGTACTTTAATGCTGTCCAGTACAGGGATCAGATTTTGCAACCTGTTCTTCTTCCATATATGCAGAGACATGGGCCTGGACTAACGTTTCAACAAGACAATGCTCGACCCCATACAGCAATTGCTACCCAGAATTTTTTAAGAAATGCCGGTGTCCAAGTCCTGGATTGGCCGTCGCTTAGCCTCAACCTTAATCCTATTGAACACATCTGGGACGAACTGGGTCGACGTGTTCGTCAGCAAGTGAATCCACCACTGACGTTGCAGGACTTTCAACATGCTCTTGCTGACGTCTTCCTCGGGTAGTGTTTACTAATGTTCTGAGATCCATGAGAAGACGTTGTGTGGCAGTATGAGACGCTAGAGGAGGCCACAACCGTTACTAAAAACTTTATTCCGATTGTTCTCCAAGTCTGTGAATTTCATTTTGGGGGGTACTGTGACATCACGAACGTTATCAATGTCAAGGATTTTCGGCGAGACGTATTCTTGCTTTCTGTTGATGTCATGGTCGTCTGTGCACAACATAACACTAAAATAGTTGCCTAAAACCAAATATTAAAAATCTAGTCCCAAAAATCCCGAGTGTCAAGTTTTTAATTTGGCTGAGTATATATATATGCCTAAAGAAAGTACTATTGTTTAATTGTCTACATGTTTCGCCCGAGCTTGTCAAGACATACAATAACAATAACAATGACATGATGTCATGGAAGAATAAACATACAATAATATAATAATATTGAAGTATATAATATATATATATAGCATAAAATTGTAATTATTTTGAAATGTTTAATTTGGGTTTAAATTTGTCAATAAAATATTGTTCCTTCAATCTCATTTTCATGGGATCTGAATACGGCGTCTTAAAGAAAGGGTATATTTAGAACTCACCTTTACCGCAGATATCAAGGTGCTCACTTAAATAGTAAGTGCAGGAGGACCGCACTACATGCAAAACAAAAACTACAAGATAAACCTGTGGACAAGACAGAAAATAGACATTGCACCAAATAAACTAATATCAAATCAAGTGAATGGATCCGGGGGCCAGCCGTAAGCGTCCACTGCGCTGTACAGTCCCAGGCCTGTAGTGACACAGACTTCACTCAAATTTGAAAACAACCAGGAATACAAAAAAGACGTAACAGAAATAATGCGACCAATCTTGGTACCCTGATGTGTTGTCTATGAACCTTTACTCTGTTTTTTAACTTGTTCGTGCAACCGATGTACAGTTCGGCACAGTCACTACATTTTATGACGTATAATACATGAGTTACTTTACAGTTCATTAACAAGGGTGAAAAACTGTCTGAGAGGTGAGTTTATTAAAGCTAGGGGTGAAAAACTGTGCAACAGTGCGTTTTCAGTAGAGGTGTGTTAATTAACCGACCGGTAAAAATGAATGTCAATGTTGTGTATTGTTTAATTGGCGTGTTTTCTCGCTAGTTGCGATAAGTGCATCAAAAGGAGTATAATCAAGGACCAACAGGCTTTATCTGACACGTACGTGTTAAATCAAAATTTGGGAAGTAAAACTGTTTTACCGTGTGATTTATCATTCGACCGTGTGTTTTACGCAGGTTTTTGTATAATTCAAGACAGGTCTTTAGACAGGTGTGTGTGCTCGCTATGATCTACGTTTCTCTTATGTGTCTTTTGTATTGCGTACCATATATATAAAGTTGAATTTAATGAAATAAAAATACGGACCTTAATCTATCGTATACGGAAAGGCGAATGTAATGTCGTCATTTATAAATACCCAGCAGTCAGCGCCCAATTTGAATATCCACAGAAATGAAATGAAATGAAATGAAATGGGGTTTAACGTCCTACTGTTCTGCTCCTAGTCTGGGCTAATGAAGACGGGCATACGCCATACAGTGTGCTATGAGAGAAATTTTGCCTGGGCAGCGGCACTATCGCCTACTCTTATATCGAATTCCAACTGCCAGGGGATCTTTTACGTGCATTCCAATATATACACAGGACCTCGGTTTTTCGTCTCATCCAAAGGACTAGACAGCTGTCCTTGTCAGGCCCTGCGTCCTGCATCACTGACAATGGGGAACCACGCCGGAAAATCTGGATGAACTTTCTCGGCCTATGCAGGGATCGAACACCCGACCTCCAGGCTAGCGAGCCAGCGCCTTACCCACTTAGCCACGTGATCCCCGAATATCCACAGGAATATAGAGAGTAAATCCAGCAAAAACAACAGAAATATATTTCTGCTTTATTACTAAAAAGACGCGCACTCACCGTTTGACAATTATTAAATTGTGCATCTTACCTTCAATAGCAACATCCATAAAACAGAAATCTCCATATTGATAAATAATACGGCACAACCAACCGAACAGTGGTAATTTCCACACAAATGATATATTTAAACTAAAATTACTTTAGTTTTTCACTTAATTTACATTGCATACAATCCAATGATCCTCATTCCAGAACTTTTAATTTATAATATATTTAAACTAAAATTACTTTAGCTTTTCACTAAATTTACTTCAAATACAATCCAACGATCCTCATTCCAGAACTTGTAATTTATAATAGCTGCTTTTATGCAATTACAGAATTGTCCCGTGATCTAACATATCAAAGAAGCACATACGCCCGATATGACACGTAATCAATTTTGAAGACATGTCTTCTATTCTTACGACTATACTTGGCGTTAATACTGCTTACCATGTAGTCACGCTACTTATAAAGTTGCATTTAATAAAATAAAAATATTGACCTTTATCTATCGCACGAAATGCAATGTCGTCATTTATAAATATCGAACAGGTAGGCCCCAATTTGAATATCCCTGTGTATATAGCGAATAAGCCAAATTTGCCGTATGTAAATATACTCTCGTAAATATACTTATTCTCGTAAATATAATTATTTTCGTAAATATAATTATTCTCGTCTTCCGACAAGTTATTATTTGTGTCTTCAAATTTGTACCATTCAAACGTCAACCCAACCATTACAGACATCACGTGTAACCGTTTCACGCATAGTCCATGCGGAGCAATAACAGCTCCTTGATCAAAGTAACAATTCTATCACATGTAAAGGCGTGCACGAGCTTATTCGCGCGTATTGGAAAACTGTTCGGTTGCTTTATTTGAGAAGATACTGATATTACACTATAAAATTTGTCAATTTTTTCTTTGAAAATTCTGACAAATTGGTAGCTCTTCAGGAAGGTTGATCATATCGCTTACTCTGTTTGTGTATTGTACGTTTTTATAATGGCTAGCAAATAATTTATGATATCTGAATACTCTCTGAAAGAACATATAGCTTGTTATTAGATGTTACTTTTTAATAGGCCATTTTTTTTTATGATAGTCGGATATCAATCACAGATATCAAATATAAATCACATTAATTAGATGAACAGCCCAACGCAGCTTTGAAATGAAATGAAATGAAATGAAATGAAATGGGGTTTAACATCCTACTGTTCTGCTCCGAACTGGGCTAATGAAGACTGGCATACGCCATAAATTGTGCTATGAAGGAAATTTTGCCCGGACAGCAGCACTACGGCCTATAACAAGCTATAATTATGTTCTTTCAGAAAGTATTCAAATATAATAAATTATTTGCTAGCTATTATAAAAACGTACAATACACAAACAGGGTAGGCGATATGATCAACGCTTCCCTAAGAGCTACCAATTTATCAGAATTTTCAAAAAATTTTTTTGACATATCTTATAATTTAATATCAGTATCTTCTCAAATAAAGCAACCAAACAGTTTTCCAATACGTGCAAATAAGCTTGTGCACGCCTTTACATGTATAAATAGAATTGACAGCTGTCCTTGTCAGATCCTCTGTCTTGCATCACTGACAAGGGGGAATCACGCAGGAATATCTGGATGAACTTTCCCCGGCCAATGCAAGGATTGAACACCCGACCTCCAGGCTAGCGAGCCAGCGTCTTACCCACTTAGCCATCGTGCCCCCCAATGAACGCAGCTTTGAAACAAACAGCAGTGTAATTTTATATTTGATTAAACTTCACATTTCATTTAGACCTTAGACAATTACATTTCCAACTGGTACGGAGAAGTAATTCAAATTTATTATTATCATCGGAGAGATGTTTTGCAAATAATGGGGACAAAGTAATATTGATACTTTAAATCGAAATTTTGTTACTATATATTATTATAGT